TAATGTTTTTATAGAATAATAAGAAAAAGGTGAAACAAGAAAAATTTAGAGAGAATTAATACTAGATCTTTTCTTAATGATCTTGCAAATGGCAAGAGAATCTTCCTATTTATAGGAAGAAAATACTCGGTCACCAAATAACTAGTTAGATCCTAACTAAATTAGTCAATTATTAATTAGATTGTCTTCTATTTATATTGGTCTTCAACCAAAACTTGCTCACCAAATATAGTACTATCTCAGTTCCAGGAACCTTTTTTTTTTGTCCGTTTAAAAAAGAATGACCATTTTCTAAATTTGGAAATAATTTAGCTTAAATTTTAAATTCTAGCCTTAATGAGAAGCTTTTATAACCACATAAATACTCTGAACCACTTTTTAACTTGTTTAGGACCACAAATTATAAAAATCTTTATTTTTTCTTAAACTACGTGTCCAGTCAAACAAATTCACATAAATTAAAACGGATGGAGTATAATACATATTTTATAATATATGAATATTCACTTTTAATATTATTTATAATGATGAACATGTAATTGTTCACAACAAATTTAGTACACTAATAAAATAAAAAACAAGTTAAAATACTTACAGCATGGATAACTAAAGGTCAAATGTCTTTGACACCATTCTTTCAATTCTACGCAATAAAAAGTTAAATGCTACTCGTATTAAAAGTATGATAAAATGCACTAATATTCCTTTAACTTTGTCCATTTGTCCTTTAAATTCTTTTTTATGCAAACATAATTTTAAACGATTGAAACATATCGATTTTCCGTTGTTTCTATTTGATAAATAAACTGCCCTTTCCTGCGATCCAAATCAAATTTCCCTTTTCAACAGAATATAGCTACAAATCTTTGTTCTAAATACTGTGTTTTCTGGGTAACCATTTTTGCGCATCAACAGCCATGGTTTTTATCAATCTTCCCGATAACAAAACCCTATTCCTAGACATTAATCCTTGTATAACTTCTCTACAAACCCTAACCCTAAAAATCAATGAAAATTTCCACATCCCAACCACCCAACAGCGTCTTTTTCTTTCCTGCCGGCGGTTACTGAACACCGACGTACGGTTATCCGATCTAGGAATTTTCCCTAATTCGACTCTAACCCTACACGTTCCTCTCCTCGGAGGTATGCAAGCACCCGGGGCACCAAAAGCCCGACTCGATTTCCTAAACACAAGGCCGCCTCCGAATTATGTTGCTGGATTGGGCCGTGGTGCCACGGGTTTCACCACCCGTTCTGATATTGGGCCTGCCCGTGCTGCTCCTGACCTCCCTGATCGTTCAGCTGCTGCTGTTGGTGGCGCTGCACCGGCAGCTGGCGGCGTTGGCCGCGGCCGCGGCAAGGGTGGTGCCGGAGAGGAAGATGAGGAGGATGATAATGAGGAAAAAGGTTACGATGAGAACCAGAAATTCGACGAATTTGAAGGTAATGATGTAGGGCTATTTGCTTCTGCTGAGTATGATGAAGATGATAAAGAAGCTGATGCTATTTGGGAAGCTATTGATCAGAGAATGGATTCGAGGAGGAAAGATAGAAGAGAAGCCAGGTTAAAGGAAGAGATTGAAAAGTATCGAGCGTCTAACCCGAAGATTACTGAACAATTTGCTGATTTGAAGAGGAAACTGTATACATTGTCGAGTGATGAGTGGGATAGTATACCTGAAATCGGGGATTACTCGTTACGAAACAAGAAAAAGAGGTTTGAGAGTTTTGTGCCTGTTCCTGATACACTTTTGGAGAAGGCTAGGCAGGAGAAAGAGCATGTAAGTGCATTGGATCCGAGGAGCAGGATAGTTGGTGGCATGGATACGCCTTCCGCTCAGACGCCCGTTGCTGATTTGACTGCCGTGGGTGAAGGGAGAGGAACCGTGTTATCGGTGAGGTTGGATAGGATTTTGGATTCGGTTACTGGGCAAACGGTTGTGGATCCTAAGGGATACTTGACTGATTTGAAGAGCATGAAGATTACTAGCGATGCTGAGATTTCGGATATAAAGAAGGCTAGGTTGTTGCTTAAGTCAGTTACTCAGACAAATCCGAAGCATCCTCCTGGTTGGATAGCAGCTGCTAGACTGGAGGAGGTTGCGGGAAAGATGCAGGTAGCGAGGCAGTTGATAATGAAAGGTTGTGAAGAGTGTCCTAAGAATGAGGATGTTTGGTTGGAGGCGTGTCGTTTGGCAAGCCCTCTTGAGGCCAAGGCAGTGATTGCTCAAGGTGTTAAAGCAAATCCTAATTCAGTGAAATTGTGGATGCAGGCCTCGAAGTTGGAGGAAGATACAGCGAATAAGAGCCGTGTGTTGAGGAAAGGTCTAGAGCATATCCCCGATTCGGTGAGGTTGTGGAAAGCTGTTGTGGAGTTGGCTAATGAGGAAGATGCTAGACTTTTGCTTCAGAGGGCGGTGGAATGCTGTCCATTGCATGTGGAACTGTGGCTTGCTCTTGCTAAGTTGGAAACTTATGAAAGCGCAAAGAAGGTACTTAACAAGGCTAGAGAAAAGCTTCCTAAGGAGCCTGCCATCTGGATCACTGCAGCTAGGCTGGAAGAAGCCAATGGGAATACTGCTTCTGTTGGGAAAATTATTGAAAGGGCAATCAGGGCTTTGCAGAGAGAAGGTTTGGAGATTGACAGGGAGGCTTGGATGAAGGAGGCCGAAGGATGTGAAAGAGCCGGTTCTCTTGGGACTTGCCAGGCTATAATAAATAACACTGTTGGGATTGGTGTCGAGGAAGAAGATAGGAAGAGGACCTGGGTTGCTGATGCTGAGGAGTGCAAGAAAAGGGGTTCCATCGAAACGGCAAAATACATTTATGCACATGCTCTTACTGTATTTAGAACTAAGAAAAGCATCTGGCTTAAAGCAGCACAGCTCGAGAAAAGCCATGGCACAAGGGAATCACTTGATGCATTGCTTCGAAAAGCAGTTACTTACATTCCAAAGGCTGAGGTTCTATGGTTGATGGGTGCGAAGGAGAAGTGGCTTGCTGGTGATGTTCCTGCAGCTCGAGCAATTCTGGAGGAAGCATTTGCTGCAATTCCTGATTCTGAGGAGATATGGCTTGCTGCTTTCAAGCTCGAGTTTGAGAACCGTGAGACAGAGAGGGCGAGGAAGCTTCTTGCTAAGGCACGTGAAAGGGGAGGCTTGGAACGGGTCTGGATGAAGTCAGCCATTGTGGAGAGAGAGCTCGGGAATGTGGACGAGGAGAGGAGATTGCTGGATGACGCATTGAGGCGCTTCCCCTCATTTTTCAAACTTTGGTTGATGTTGGGACAGTTGGAAGAGAGACTTGGTAATTCTGACAAGGCAAAGGATGCCTATGAGTCTGGCATTAAGAATTGTCCCAATTGTATACCCCTTTGGCTGTCCCTTGCGTCTCTAGATGAGAAGATGAATGGTCTGAGCAAAGCTCGAGCAGTTCTGACCATGGCCAGGAAGAAGAATCCTCAGAACTCTGAGCTATGGCTTGCAGCTGTGCGAGCTGAAGCTAGGCATGCATACAAAAGGGAAGCTGATGTGCTGATGGCTAAAGCATTGCAGGAGTGCCCCAACAGCGGCATTCTATGGGCTGCGTCAATTGAGATGGCGCCTCGGCCTCAAAGAAAAACTAAGAGCTCTGATGCTCTAAAGAAATGTGATCATGATCCGCATGTTATTGTTGCTGTGGCTAAGCTGTTTTGGCAGGAGAGGAAAGTAGACAAAGCAAGAAATTGGTTCAACAGGGCAGTGACCCTTGCACCAGATATTGGTGATTTCTGGGCATTGTACTTGAAATTCGAACAGCAGCATGGAACAGAGGAGCAGAGGAATGATGTATTGAAAAGGTGCATTGCTGCAGAGCCGAAGCATGGGGAAAAATGGCAAGCTACAGCCAAGGCCGTAGAGAACTCTCATGAACCAACAGAAAGCATATTGAAGAAGGTGGTAGCCACATTAAAGAAGGAGGAGAATTTGGCTGAAAATAACCACAACTAATCAGCTGTAGTGTGAGAGTCTCTGTACTTGATAATCTTAGAGAGATTTATAGGTTAGAGACAGTAGTTACAACATCCTTGCTTGAGTTGCTTCAAAGTATTGTATCTTGGTTGTGTTTGTCACCTTATGTGAGCTTAATGTTGCAATTTTCCATTCCTCGTATTATTATAAAGTCAGCAGGGATGTTTCTCATATTGTTCTCAAGGTTATGTTTCTTGTTATATTTTATTTTAGAGACAAATGTTATGATTCCCTTTAAAAGGTTTAGTCAATGTTCTTTTTTTCCTCTATTATCTTATGTACCTTTTTCTTTCATACGCTTTTTTATATTTTATCAAAAATCTCATATACCTTTTATGTATGTCTTGTTTTTCACTTGTGACATTTGAGTTAATTAAGTTCAAGGCATGTTTAAAAGCTATGCGTGGATGTGCGCATACCTATTATATTGACATATATAGTAGAGAGATGAGATGGAGTCAGCTTATCTCTTAACAAAAGAGATCTCTTTTTTTAGTACAACCATTTGATGGGTTAATTATGTCTTGTAGTGTTGGTGAAATGTTATTCATGATTATCAGAGACAGAGACAAAGAAGACCTTTTGTTTCTATGCTTTTTGAGACAATACCATACCGAAAGAACTCGCTAAATTGACTAGGACTGGGTAGCTTTTTGTTTTTCTTGTTCTTTCTACGGACATTTTCAGCAGTGAGACCTTTCTGGAAATTGAACTGTTCTCACACATTGCATTCTGAATCCATGACAATTTAGTTACCATGTGTAAATTTTAGTTCTGACAATTACATTTTTCATGTTCTTTTGATATTCGTTGTCCTAAAATTTTCATGTGTAATGTCAAGCATGCAGGAAATCTTGTTAGTCTGTGTTAAGAAGTACTTTTGAAGTTCTGCCCGTGCTCTATATAAGTTCATTGTTTGAAGTTCGTTTTACAAGATTCATTAATCAGAATCCTCTATTGGCTTACGTAATGATGTCAGATATTTACTTTCAGATGTTGTCAGAGTTTAAACCTTCAGTTTACTGTGGCAAAAAGCGAATACTTGAAAAGACAATGATGATTTTACTCCTCTGAAGGACGTGTAAACATGAGGTAAGTTCTGTTGCATGAAAAACGAATCCAGGTTCTCCCAAAAATACATCTTTTACTTCTCGTTTATAGCTTTAATGAGAGAACTTCCCAATATGATGCTTCTATTGTTCCTCGCCTGAGTTTATCATGGTAACTTGTGCAGTTGTCTTCCACCCCAGTTCTAAATCAGAGGTATAAACTCTCAAGTGTATTTTCTTGTGCCCGATATATTATCATAAAGCTGAACACTAGTTGACTATTTAGCTAGTTCGCCCGAGAAATCTCATTTTCTTATCCTTTCTGTGTCTTGCAGCTAGAGCAGCATTTTGAACCTTCCCGAATTCATTCGTTATCAGCAGCTTCTTCAAAAGTAACTTCTTTCTTTTTTATCCTCAAGCAGCAAGTGTTAGTAATTCATGTTTTCTGCAAAAGAATGGAAAAGGATAACTACTAGATTACCTTCATAGGAAAAGGAAACTACCAAACACAGGCTTCAATTGGTTTACTTTTGTTTCATCAATATTTGCTGGCTACTCTTTGGACTTTGGTAACTTAATGAACAACTAAAATGACTATAATCTTCTCAATAGCCATGTTGTATTCCTGGTCTTACTTTTTCCTATATACTATGAGGAGCCAATTGTTTTCGTTTTCGGTTCTCGCTTAGAATCTGTGGTGCTCTACATCAATCAATCACAGCTGCACTGGAGTTCCACTGCTTAGTAGTACTAGATTTGATTACTAATTTGTTGTGTGTTGGTTGAAGACCACAGAGTCCAACAGCTTTTTACCATTGGGTGTTGTAGAAATTCAAGAAAGATGGTATGGAAAACTATTTTTCTATTTGTCGTGTCATATGTACAGTGCTATTCCTATATTTATACAAAGAAAGAACTATGACAGTTGGCTACAATTTGTGTGTATGTGTCCTCGTCAGTGGCCTTCACTTTAAGAGGAATAAAAGGAATTTGATATTCTAAAGTTGAACATATTTCCACTGTCTCCTCCACTTTGAGCCTCTGTCTGAACACTACGACTTGTCGGGGCCGAAGTAATTTTTCCGGCAACACCCCCCCTCAAGTTCAGACCCCAAATCGGACTCCCAACTTGCCCATAAAAGAACGGTGAAGCCGCCCGGAGAGGGCTTTTGTGAAGATATCAACGATATGAGATGAAGATGGAACAAAAGATAGAGAAATCAATCTATCCAACAATTTTTCACGAATGAAATGGCAGTCAAGCTCGATATGCTTAGTTCGTTCGTGAAAGACAGGATTTTTTTGCTATATGAATTGCTGCTTGATTATCACAGTGCAAAGTCACAGGCAAAAATGGAGGAATAGTGAGATCTTGAAGAAGACGAACTACCCAGGCAATTTCAGCCACCAATCGACGCATTGATCTATACTCCGCTTCGGCCGAGGAAAGGGCAACAATCTGTTGCTTTTTCGATTTCCATGAAATTGGAGAACCGCCCATGTTTAAGAAAAATCCACTAACCAAACGCCGGGAATCAGAACAAGCAGCCCAATCGGAATCACAATAGACAACAAGCTGAAAAGAAGAATCTGGAGACATAAAAAGTCCAAGCCCTGGATCTTTACACAAGTATCACAAAGTATGCAGCGCTGTCTGATAATGCCCAGTACAAGGCATTTTCATGTATTGACTAAGTGTCTGCATAGCAAAAGCGAGATTCGGCCGTGTATTAGTTAAAAAATTGAGCTTGCCAATCAATCGACGATAAATTGTAGGATCAGAAAGGGGAGTTCCGCACTCAGAAGAGAGCTTAAGAGATGGATCAAGAGGAAAAGAAGCATGTCTGGAACCAAGCAATCAAACTCAGTGAGGATGTCTAGAGCATATTTCTGTTGTGTAACCACTAATCCATTGTTTTCGCGTACAAGTTCTAATCCCAAAAAATAATGCGCCTCACCCAAATCTTTGATTTTGAATTCAGTGTTCAAGAAATGTTTAATGTCTGTAACTTCTTTGGCATTGTTCCCAGTAATTAAGATATCGTCATAAACTGCAAGTATAGTGACCAATTCGCCAGAGATCTTAAAAAAGAGGGAATAGTCATTAAGTGATGACTTGAAACCCCTTGTACCTAAAGCAGCAGATAAACGAACGTACCATTGACGAGATGCTTGTTTAAGACCATACAACGACTTGCGTAGTCTACAAACAAGAGAAGTAGATGGAGGAGTTAAACTTGGAGGGAAGCGCATGTAAACTTCTTCATCCAAATCGCCATGTAAGAAGGCGTTGTTGACATACAGCTGGTATAATTTCTAATTTCTTTTCACTGCAATGGTAAGAATACATCGAATCGTTGTCATTTTTACTACTGGCGAGAACGTTTTTGTATAATCCAAACCTTTCCTTTGTGTATCCCCTCTGATAAGAAGACGTGCTTTTAATCTTTCCAAGGATCCATCTGACTTTAACTTCACTTTTTATATCCATTTGTAGGGCAAAGCCCTTTTTCCTTCAGGCAAAGCAACAATGTCCCAAGTGCGATTGGATTGCAGGGCGTCAAGTTCTTTTTCCATAGCAAGTTGCCAAACTGAATCCTTGGCTGCCTGATGGTAAGAAGTAGGTTCTTATATTTGACATATAAAATTTATCATTGTCTGATTATCTTCTGTTAGGGCAGAAAAAGCAAAAGAATGTATGGAAGTAAAGGGGGATTAGGAAAAAAAGTAGAATACGCAGTATTACAAATATAATCTGACAAATAGACTGGTTGGTGATGCTGTCTTTGTGATCGTCGCAAGACTGGCCCTGGTGGGGAGGGTAAGGCTTATGTTGGAGGTGTAGTTTGAACTGAGGAAGGGGATACAATAAGACTAGACAGAGGGATACGAGAGGAACTAGGACAGGAATGAGATGATGATTGTTGAACATGTGAACTACGAGAGTAAGTATGCTGAGGCTGTGGGGTAACAAAATTAGGAGTAGAAGACTCATGAGTAGGGAGGAAGCTGGCATGAAATAATTTAGACATTGGAGTGGAAAAGGAGAAAGGAAAAATAGTTTCAGCAAATCTCACATCCCTAGAAACAATGACCTGATTAGAGAGTAAATTTAGAATCCTATACCCTTTCTTCCCAAATGGATATCCAAGAAAAATACCAGGGATTACTCTAGGATCAAGCTTATCCCTATGTCGAGACAAGGTAGAACTAAAATATAAACATCCAAAAGGCCTAAGAGAGTGATAATCTGGTTGTTTATCAAAAAGAACCTGATATGGTGATCTATTTTGAAGTACCTTAGATGGAAACCTGTTTATCAAGTATGTGGCAGTCAACAAAGAGTCCCCCAAAATTTCTTAGGGGCATGTGATTGGAAAAGAAGGGCTCTACAGATTTTCAAAAGGTGCCTATGTTTGCACTCTACAACACCATTTTGTTGTGGTGTTGCAACACAAGAGGTTTGATGGATTATGCCTTGTGAGGAGAAGAAGTCTTTAGGAATTTGTCCTGTACCTAACTCAAAAGTATTATCAGATCTTATAACTTTAACCTTAGCAGAAAACTGTCTTTCAATAAGTGCTAAGAAGGATTTTAATGTGGGAAATGCACTGGATTTAGTATTGAGAAGAAATGTCCAAGTGCTTCTGGAGAAATCATCAACAATTGTGAGAAAATACTTCTCCCCTTTGTAAGTAGGAGTTTTATATGGTCCCCATGTGTCTATATGAATCAAATCAAAATATTTTTTGGATATGATAGTGCTAATGGGAAAAAGGGAGTTTAGATTGTCTGGCTAAAGGACAAATGGTACAGGGGAATTCTTTCTTTTCTGTGAACTTTATAGGTAATCCTTTTATATATTTTATTGCATGAAAGGGAAAATGTCCCAGTCTATTATGCCACAAACTCTCCAATTCAGTAATACTTTTATTATTACTGAAATTTTCATGACAAAACAGGAATAACATAACTTTGAAGACTTAGGCACAAGGGCCTTTGACAAACAGAAACAGGAAAAGAAACAGACTCTAAACAACTTGACTTGGACAGCTGGTTGGAAGAAGACACTGGAGTAATGTTTTTGACATGTGTGGCTTAGATCTGAAGACAGTTATTTTGCACCAGGTAAAGACTAGTAGAGGCATCACCAAAAACTCGCCCCCTCCTCAAGGAAGGGACCTGTAAATAACAACCAATTTTATCAAAATGTCAGACTACAATTGAATTGCTCACATAGTTTCTTGACTGAAAGAAGGTTATGCTTGAATGTTGGAACATGGAGCACATTATGAAGCACAACACCAGGAGACAATTGAAGCTTTCCTATACAAGTAACTTTTATTTTATATGAATTAGGTAAATTAACTGATATAAGTATTTTAAGTACTACGACATCATGTAACAGGGATTCATTAAAAGTCGTGTGTTGTGTAGTACCAGAGTCAATTATCTAAGGAACTCTAGGAATACTAGAAAAAAATGAAGTGAAAGTGTGGTAGTTAACTTCAATACCAGTCAAGTTTGCACTTGCAGTGGGTTCAGAAGTTGAGGCAATAGAACCACCTCCTTGCATAGATTGGAATAATTGAATCAACTTGTCACATTGCTCCTTAGAGAACCCTTGGCTAGTAACCATATTTGAGACTGCATTTCCTCTAATTCTTGAGGTGAGAGATTCATCAACTTCTCCAACATTTGCTTGTTGGTTTCCAAAACTTTCCCTGTTCTGCCTGTTTATCTTGAAGTTTTGAGGATATCCTACTAATTTATAGCACTGCTCTTTTTCATGATCTGTTTTCTTGCAATATCTGCAATATAAATCATTTTTTCTTGCTGGATAGTGACTTGCTCCTTTAGTTTCCATAACTTTCTTTTTTGGAGTCCATTTTTCCCAGTCATGAAAGCAGAAGAGTCATTAGGAATTTGATGAGTAGAATGTACCTCTCTTTGTGACTCCTGATGCAAAATGATAGAGTAAGCCTGTGCTGTGGTAGGGAGAGGCTTCATCATCAACACATTTCCTTTGACTGCGTTGTAGGTCTCATTTAGCCCCATCAAAAATTGTATTAATTTCTGATCCTCAAGCATCTTGTGATTGTGCTCCTTAGCTCCACAACTGCACTCACAACTACATGTCATGAAAGTATTGAGTTCTTTCAGTTGGTCCTAGATCCTTTTCAGTTTGGTAAAATAAGCAGCTACATCACTAGTTTCTTGATTGATATTGTTCATCTCTCTTTGAAGCTGAAATAGCTTTGTACCATCAGCTTGTCCATACCTTTCCTCTAGTTCATTCCATAGATCTGCAGCTGTCTGTGAGTAAATAACACTCGCAGCTATTTCTTTACTTAGAGAATTAAGTAGCCATATTATTACCATGTCATTGCAACGTGTCCATTGAACTAATAGAGATGAATCTTTCTTTGGCATTGCACAGGTTCCATTGATGAATCCCAATTTATTTTTGGCAGATAAAGAGATAAGGACTCCTCTTCTCTAATTTCCATAGCTGGTCCCATCAAAGATAGTATTGATGAGATTCATACCAGGAGAATCAGAGGAGGAGGGGAAATAAGGATGTGAGACATCAATATCAGTTTTGGATTTGGAAGACTGTTCTTAAGTACCCATTCTGTAGGTGTTCAAAGAAAAGAAATGAAAAGATATTTGGAATGTAAAATTGAAAGAAAATCAGTGAGGTATTGCTCTGATACCATGTAGAAATTCAAGAAAGATGGTATGAAAAATTATTTTTCTATTTGTCGTGTCATATGTACAGTGCTATTCCTATATTTATACAAAGAAAGAACCATGACAGTTGGCTACAATTTGTGTGTATGTATCCTCATCAGTGACCTTCACTTTAAGAGG